GGCATAAGACGTTAGAGATGCAAATAGACATGATAGAGATGCATATAGACATGATGGAAAATGCGTAAGCATATCCTCGTATACCGGTTGAGGAAAGATGAATACATACTTTAGATGCTAAATAACGCGTAAGCACGCCTCCCAATGATATGCGCTCTAGATGAATTTGAGGGTAGATGATATGAAATGCTTAAGATGCCAAAAAAAATCCGATAGGCTAGACGTTAAATGGTTCATATGCATTTAGTTGCATTACATGAGTTATGATGTTATTTACATCATGAGATGATTTATACTCATATTAGATGATTTTAGATGTTATGTCATGACATGTGATATATGTGTACTATTTTTACATACTTATTTGTATGTATACATATTGATGTTTATATAACCATGGGATAAAATGATGAAAAGCATAAGAATTAGTAAGAAAAGGGAAGCATATCTAGATGTAAAGATAAGTGGTGTGTTAACAAATATGTTTAAATGAGGGTCAAATAGCACATTTAGAATGCAATGGATCATTCCTTACTGAGCGATTAGCGCTCATCCTTTCATTGTTGATTGCTTTGCAGGTAGACTAGAAGCGAAGGATGCTAGAGACAGCGAGGCTACACGTGAGGGGAGGTGATTTATTGTCATCTTGATGTTTTTATCTTGATAAATAATGTAAATGATAAATGTTTGTGAAACACCTTTAGAAGCTTCCACCCTATAAATATGTTTTGATTTTGTAATTTCTAGATAAATTCTTAAAGTTTCTGAATTATAAGTTTGGATCCTGTGTGATATTTTATATGTATATTTTGGATATTATTATTATTATTATCCTTACACAGATTTTTTCTAAATATAACTCGTTCTCTAAACATGTATCCCCAAGATTCTCATTGAGGAATATTCAAAGGATATCTGACTGGAAGAGGGTTTTACAAATACCTAAATAAACATTTAGGTACACCTAACATATATTTGTTTGTTACAGATTAGTTAAAAAGTTCTGATTATTTTTTACTACGGCTAGTCGTTATTGTAATTAAAAAAGACCTCGTATAAATGATGTTAAGAATGAGACAAGCTATACTTAACATATATTTGTTTGTTACTGATAAAAAAAGAAGACTTTGTAAAAATAATATAAAGAAGTAAACAAACCTAACATATATTAATAATTTTAACATATATTTGTTTGTCACATATTAAAAAGACTGTATAAATAATGTCAAAAAGTAAGGAAGTAACAGTCAAATTAATTATTTTAGTTCCCCTAAGTTCGTTGTCGTTTATGAAATCATCTAGTCCAAGTACATAGTGTATCAATATTATCAAGGCGGCAGTTTTCCTAAAATTTAATGATTGATCAAAATTGGCTCTTATTTTAATGCTTGACTTAAAGTTCTGAGACTTCTGGAAAGAAGAATTTTATTAATGTGTGCACTTTACTAAAATTTTGAAAAGGAAGAACAAGTTAAGAGCTCTCCAACTGAAAATCAAACTTTGAATCATAAGCTAATTTTGTTTTAATTTAATTATGATATTATGAATTGCAGTTGGCTTTTAACTTTATTTGTTATAAATATAAGAAAGGCCAAACGACTTGCGCATATCCAAGGTTTCCCGAAACGATAAGTTGGTACCTAAAAGGTTTTGAAACGACAAACAAGTACCTTCCGTTATGTGCTGTTAGTGATTTTTGTTTGTTAACAGTGAAAAGACTAAAATGCCCTTGAAGTTTGATATTTTAGTTTCTTAAAAATTTCTAAAAAAACCTCTAGGTTTTCTAATTTAACTAAACACCCCTATATATAAAAAGTTTGTTAAATGACAAAAACACCCCCACCACCTGCGGCCAGATCCCGGCCACCACCGCTGGAATCTGGCCGAAAATTGCGTTACGACACAGACCCCGTCGAATCTGTATCGTAACGCGCCGATCTGGCCTTTTCCAGCCAGATCCATGGCTGATCTGGCCGGAAAAGGCCAGATCTGGCCGTCGAGGCAGTAGATGGAGTTTTGCGGCCTCGACGGCTAGATCTGGCATTTGATTTGGCCTGAAAATGTCAGATCTACAGCTAGATCTGGCCGTCGTGGCCGCAAAACTCCATCTGTGGCGTCGACGGCCAGATCTAGCCGTAGATCTGACATTTTCCAACCAGATCAGCCACGGATCTGGCCGAAAAAGGCCAGATCGGTGCGTTACGACACAGATCCGACGGGGTCTATGTCGTAACGTAATTTCCGGCAAGATTCTGGCGGTGGTGGTCGGGATTTGGCCGCAGGTGGTGGGGGTGTTTTTGTTATTTAACAAACTTTTTATATATGGGGGTGTTTAGTTAAATTAGCAAACCTAGAGGGTTTTTTAGAAATTTTAAAAAAACTAAAATATCAAACTTCAAGTGCATTTTAGTCTTTTCACTGTTAACAAACAGAAATCACTAACCGCACATGACGGAAGGTACCTGTTTGTCATTTCAAAACCTTTTGGGTACTAACTTGTCGTTTCGGCAAATCTTGGGTATGCGCAAGTCGTTCGGTCATATAAAAAATGTATAAACAGTAGAAAAATAATAAAATAATTTGTTCCAATTATATCCCCACTTAAAGTAAAACATGGGGTTGAAGAAGAAAATAAGAGAGGCTAAAAAACTTGAATTGATTCAAAAAGATGAAATAGAAAATAGAAAATAGCAATTGAAATAAAAATTCTTATTCCCTTAAAAACCAAGTCAATTATCATCAACGAAACAGATAAAAAGTCGGCCAAGTAAGGTCTTGAGTTTACGATTTGGGTTGATTTCCACTGTGGTCTTTTTGGCGGGACATAAATGAACAATTTTCCACCATCATTTTGGTTTGTTTGAAAGTGTATTAGCTTCGTTTCCGGTGAACCCAACCAATCTATTTTTGATCTAATTTTTCTAATCAATATTCGTCAACTTTTTGGCTGAAAAATCGATAGAAGATAACAATGGCTGTCGTTTTGTTTCTTTTAAGTTTATAATGGCTGGGGATCCTCAAACACCCCTTTTTAATTGCACCTCTATGATTAAAATTAGATATATAACCAGATTAAGTTTATAATCTTTAAAATAATTCAGTATTCCAAATATGAATTTAATTTAGAAATAGTTGATTTAATAGAAAGAAAAAATACACATACATATATATAAGGCCGAACGACTTGTGCATACCCAAGGTTTGTCATAACGACAAGTTCATACCTAAAAGGTTTTGAAACGACAAATAAGTACCTTCTGTCATGTTCTGTTAATGATTTCTGTTTATTAATAGTGAAAAGACTAAAATGCCCTTAGAAGTTTGAATTTTAGTTTTTTATAAATTTAAAAATTTCTAAAAAACCCCCTAGGTTTACAAATTTAGCTAAATACCCCAATATATAAAATTTTTGTAAAATAACAAAAACACTCCCGCCACCTGCAGTGTCAGATTCCGGCCACCACCGCCGGAATCTGGCCGGAAAGTTACGTTACAACACAGACCCGTCGGATCTGTGTCGTAACGTGCCGATATTTTCTTTTTCGGCCAGATCTGGCCGTCGAAGCAGCAACCAGATCTGGCTTTTTTCGGCCAGATCCATGGCTGATCTGGCCGGAAAAGGCCAGATCTACGGCCAGATCTATCCGTCGACGCCGCAGATGGAGTTTTGCGGCATTGACGGCCAGATCTAGCCGTAGATCTAGCCTTTTCCAGCCAGATCAGCCACGGATCTGGCCGGAAAAAGCCAGATCGCCGCGTTACGACACAGATCCGAATGGTCTGTGTCGTGATGCAGCTTTCCGGCCAGATTCCGGCGGTGGTGGCCGGAACTGGCACTGCAGGTGACGGGGGTATTTTTGTTATTTTATAAAAATTTTATATATTGGGTTATTTAGTTAAATTTGTAAACCTAAGGGGTTTTTTAGAAATTTTTAAATTTATAAAAAACTAAAATTCAAACTTTTAAGGTCATTTTAGTCTTTTCACTATTAATAAACAGAAATCATTAACGGAATATGACGGAAGGTATCTATTTGTCGTTTTAAAACCTTTTAGGTATCAATTTATCGTTACAGTAAACCTTGGGTATGTGTAAGTCGTTCTCCCTATATATAATTGAGGAAAGAGGTTTTAGCAGCTACTCTAAATTTTATTGCCTTTTCTGCCCCTGACTTAAAAAGTGCACATGCTAGCTAAACAGTTATTATTTATTTTGAGTTTAGCTGTCAGACAATATGACCAAGGAAGCTTAAAAGGAAATTGAGCTCAAATAACAATATTTTCAACTTTATTGACCCCGTGATTGTCTAACTTTGTACAGACAAGACATTTTGAAAGGACAAAAAGTTTAGAGCAAATAATAGAAGATAATCTAAGAGAATCTTTTATACTGTGTGTGAAAAGAAAATGAAATTATTATTTTAAATAGTATTTTTTAAAAAAATTGAGTGGAATTGACTTATTATTACACGAAGGGTAAGATTTAAATTAAAAAATTGTGTCTGATAAAATTATTTTATAATCTCTTATATTTATTAATTTAGTTAAATATTTTTTATAATAAAAATTTTAAAATTAGTAAAAATATTTTCAACTACTTATTAATAAATATCTATAGTCTATTATTATTGTTGAAAGGTGGTTAAAAGTTTAAATATTTATAAATTTTAACTGTTATAGATATTTAGTTAAATTAATAAATTTAAGGATTTAAAAAAATTTAAATATTTTAGATTAAATTGAATAAAATTATATTTAAAAAAATAGTAAAATAACATATATTTTAGATAGGATAGAATAGGAACAGAGAAACAAACACGGTTAACTTCGTATTGTCACTTTCTCCCACCACCGAGAAAAACTTTTGTGACTGTCCAACCACGTTAGCCTGATGGGGTGTGACTATCGAGTCCACGAAATTATTGCTTATGTCATTCTGCTACAACTAAATTAATTAGTCTGAATTGTTTGTTGTTTATCAAACCATCTTTTATAAATACATGTCATTATGCTCTTTCCCTGCACTTCAACATTTCATTACTGACTTTTGAGATTTCAGTGTTTTTGTGCACTACGGGCTATAGATCGGGGCAGGGTGATTTAAGGCTGCAGGATATCGATCATAAAATTATTGTAAGTATGCAGCAAATATATTCTGAATTATGTACGTATGATTTGAATGATTATTTTGAGAATCAAGTTATGTTTGGTGTCGTCATAGCTTCTCTCAAAATCGCCTGTTTCTAAAAATTATTAATTCGAATGTTTTTACCTACTCAATAGTGATATGTATGTTAATGATTTTGTTACTATTGATCAGGATGGAGAATGGTGAAACAAGACTTCAACAAACGGAAATAAGCACAGTGATTGACATACAAGAGTCTGACTCAGACTTCGAAGGAAGTAAACAAATGGAAAGAAGCAATGATGATGCGGTGACTGACATTAAAGTTGAAGGCCCGGACTCGGTATTGGAAGCAAGTGAAAATATAGAGAGAATTGATGATGATGCGGTGATTGACATTATTGAAGTTGAAGACCCAGGCTCAGAATTGGAAGCAAGTGAACAAATGGGAAGACGTGATGAGGATGCAGTGATTGACGTGGGAGACCCGTACTTAGAATTGGAAACTTATCTAATGAATGAACTGGAATCTTTGCATCCTTTATCTGAAAAATGCACCATCCATTGTGTTCAAGAGAATGTACGCCGGCTAGATGAAAAAGCTTACACACCCCGAATAGTCTCTATTGGTCCGATTCATCATGGTAAACTAGAGTTAAAAGCTATGGAAGAGTATAAAAGAAGATACTTACAACAGTTTCTTGAAAGAACTAATCAGGTGCGCTTGAAAGATTTTATAAAAGTTATAAAAGAAAATAAAGAAAAAGTGCGTGATTGTTATGCAGAAACCATTAAAATTGATGATAGTGATGACTTTGTGAAAATGATTTTGTTTGACGCTGTCTTCATTTTGGAGGTATTATTAACGCATGTTGAGGGTAAACACTTTATTTGTGATCGTGTATTTAATAATCCACGTAGGATACTTGATGTTAAGGATGACTTGTTTTTGCTTGAAAATCAGCTTCCATTCTTCATTCTTGAAGATTTGTTTAGGCTAGCCGATATAGATAAATCCTTTAACAGTGAAGAGAAGCCTTCTATTCTTAAAATTATCCATAATTTCACCTTTTTTTTTTTGGGGACACTTAGGAATGGAGGAGAACTTTCATGAAAGTAAATATTCGGGGGTGAAGCATCTTGTTGACTTTCTAAGAATTTCTATTATGCCTTTGAATCTACAGTTGAAAGAGAAACCAGAAATTCTAACAACACCAACAGTAAAAGAACTATATCAAGCTGGAGTGAAGTTTAAGTTGGGGTTAAGCAAAAACTTATTTGATATAAAATTTCACAATGGAATATTAGAAATTCCACGATTCACAGTAGTAAGTTCCCTGGAAAATGTTTGGAAAAATCTTTTGGCCTTTGAGCATAGTCAATGCGACGATGATCTCTTAAATGACTATATTATCATCATGAATTATCTTGTTAACACTCCCAAGGATGTGGATATACTTGTCCAACATAAAATTATTCAAAATCCAGTAGGAGATTGTGAACTGGTGTCAAGTCTATTACACCGCCTTAATCAACGGCCTGTTTTCAGTTCTCGTTTCCTTTATTCTTCTCTTGTGGAAGAGCTGAACGAGTACTGCAGAAGACCATCGCACCGGTGGAAGGCAACCTTGAAACAAGATTATTTCAAAACTCCATGGACCACCGTTTCTGTAATTGCTGCTACTATTCTCCTCATACTCACTGTAATTCAAACCATATGCTCTATCCTCCAGGTTAAATAGGTTATAATAGATAATTACTGTGTTTTTCTTTCATGCCAACTTCTTTCTCCATGGCAATATTTATTTCTATGAAAATGGATTCCTTTATTGTGCTTGTAGTGAAAGTTTATTCAAAGTAATTTAAGCTCGTGTTTGCTGTAATTTCAGCTTTGTTTAACACACAATATACAGTAGAAAAGAAGATTGAAAGTCAAGATAATTTCTGAGTCAAATATTACTTGAGCTTGGAGACAGAGAAGAAATTAGAGGAATAAACTATGCAGAGCACTGTATTTAACTGCTCTAGATGATTTAAATCTTGATTTTATGGTTTTAGATGCCGCCGGCGGATTATACTTGTGAGAAAAGTTTAAAATGAATCATTTGCGCATGGTTGTTGGCGGCGCATGAAACAGCTATGTTTCTTTTGAGATTTATAGAATCAGATCAGTTAGAGACAACATGTAAATTAGGGTTTCAAAATTCAAAGTAGAGTAAACGACATATTCCCACCCAAGGTTTGACGAAATCCCAAGTTGGTGCCAGGTTTCATTTATTCCAAATTCCTACCCTTAAAGTAAAGAAAAAATGTTTGATGTAACGATAAAAGCGTAAATTGGTCATTTTACATGGGCAGCGTACGTTAGCAGACCACTGCCTCTAATAGTCCTCCGGCGCACGTTAGCAGATGGCATCCCTGACCTTTTTTGCTCTTTTTTCAGCAATTCTTCCACCCAAAATCACCCTTGTCACTACCATTTGAACCCCCATCCTCCCCTCTACAAATCCATACGCGTCACAACCCCTAATCACTTGCCGATCGCCGGCCACGACAGTTGCCGCAGGCGACTGGTTTTTGCCGATTTCTGGTTGTTTTGAACGGCGAAAACCCCAACCACCACCACCATTAGATTCCTCGCATCCTCCCCTATAAAACCCCTAACCTTTCCAACCACGACAGCTCACCGTTTGCCGTCCACCACTTCACTGAAAAACGGTTGATGAACACGAACTCTTGGCTGGCGAATGGCGATGAAACGGTTGCTGGGGACATAGGGGTTTTTATAGATTTAGAGACGGTGGTTGCAGTGGTGGTGTCCAATTGGATTTTCGCCGCCGGAATTGACCGAAATCCTACAAAGAACACCAAAACCCTTAGCCTAATGGTGCCGACGATTGGAGGGGCCAATGAGTCGGGAACAAGAGGGGTTTTGGATGACGGACTACAGGAAAGTTGATAGAGGTGACCAGGGGGTTCGACGTCTTCGAAAATAGCCCAGATCGGGCTATTTCCAAAGAGGGTTTCTAGTGACCGAGGGTGTTTTTGACATAATTTGAAAATAAAATGGTAAGTTATAATTCTAATAATTTAGGGGTTAAAACATAATTTATTAATTTAGGGTTAAGGGCATTATGGTAATTACATCATTTAAACCCTAAAATTGATAACACTGTTATTTTAAAGGTAAGAATCTAGAATAAATGAAATCTGGGATACCAACTTAGGGTTTCATCAAACCTTAGGTGGGAATATGTCGTTTACTCAAAGTAATAATTTTTTTTAATCGAATATAGTTACGTCACAACCTTTTTCTGAAATGGCCCAGCGGTTTAGTATTCCAAACATAATAGACTTTCACTATGTTATTATATTTGGGCCATTAATAACGGGCTGGTATTCTAAATGGGAATAATACAAAACATGCTTCCCGGCCCTGGGATGCCGGGTAAACCCGAGTATCCGGCCCGTGAAATTTTGTATATAAAAAATGTATATAAATAATTTATATTGAATAGATTAAATTAAACATGAACTTCTTTAAATTAAAAAAAAAAAAAAAAAGCATTATATCTAGATTGATTGTCTGATGATGATCAGACTGGACCATGGTGCAATTAATATTAAAGAAAGACTCTGCATAAATAATGTTATAAAGTACACATTTTGTTTGTCCTGACTCATGAGACTGGTGTTCTAATAAAAAAAGACTTTGTATAAATTAATAATGTCAAAAGTTCTTTGTTGTTATTTAATTTGTCAAAGCATCTCTTACAAATACATCTCATTGTGCTGTTTTCTGCACATTTCATTACTGACTTCTGAGTGTTTTTGGGCAGTACTGGCTTTCGACACGAGCAGGGTAATTCAAGGCTGCAGGATATTCAATCATAAAAATATTGTTAAGTATAAATGCACATATATATTCTGAGTTCTCTAATCATTAGTTCTTTCTTGGTTTTGATAAAGATAGGACTTTTGTGAATGATTGTGCTATTAGTGATCAGGATGGAGAATAATGTTGAAATAGGAAATGAACAACTGGAAAGAAGTGATCATGCAGTGATTGACATTGATGAAAACCCATACTTACAATTGCCAACTTCTATGAGTGAAATTGAATCATTCTATCCTTTATCTGGTGAATGCAATATCCATACAGTTCTCGAGTATCAACGTCAATTACATGAACCCCTAGGCACCTCAAATTATCTCCATTGGTCCGATTCATCATGGTAAAAAAGAGTTGAAGGGCAATGGAAGTGTTTATAAAATTTGTAAAGGAAAATGAAAGAGAAGTACGCAGTTGTTATGCAGAAACCATTGATCTTAACAGTGACAACTTTGTGAAAATGATTTTAAAGGATGTTGCCTTCATTTTTTAGGTACTATTGATGCATTTTGAAAAGGATGACCCTAATTCTGATCGTGTATATGGTAGTCCCAAAAATGATTTTTGATGCAATCAGTGACTTGTACAAGCTGGAAAATCAGCTTCCATTCTTCATTCTTGAGGATTTGTTCAGCCTAGCCAACATTGACATATCTTGTGCCCATAAAGTGAAGCATTCTTTTTCTTGAGATTACCCATAATCTCACCAGCTGTCGTTGGGGTTACTTAGAAGTAGTGTGTAAATGTAACATCAGTTATGAAAGTAAGTTTGTCGGTGTCAAAAATCTTGTAAACTTCCTAAGAATTTCCAGTGTACTTTTGAAGAAGAGTATTAAAAAGAAACCAAAAAATTCTAACAACACCTGTTGCAAAAGAACTAAATCAAGCTGGAGTTAAGTTTAAGTTGAGATCATCAAGTAAAACTTTATTTGATATAAGATTCCAGAATGGGATATAGGAAATTCCACGAATCACAATACTAAAGTACGATGGAAGATGTAGTGAAAAATCTTTTGGTAGTGAAAATTCAATGCATAGATTTGTTCTTAAATGACTATTTTATCTTTATGAATTATCTTGTTAACACTCCTAAGGTTGTGGACTTAGTTGTCCAACATGAAATTATTCACAATCCAATCGGGGATTGTGAACAGGTGTCAAGTCTATTTCACCATTCTGATTATTTTCACTTTTCGTCTCTTGTTGAAGACCTGAACAATTACTGCAGAAGACCATTGCAGAAGTGGAAGGCAACCTTGAAACAAGATCATTTCAAAACTCCATGGACAACCGTTTCTATCATCGCTGCTAGTATTCTCCTCATGCTCACTGCTATTCAATCCAAATGTTCTATCCTACAGGTGAAAGAGATTCCTCCCTTTCATGGTTTATCTCTATTAAGCAGCATTGAGAGAAAAGTGATGAAGTTGGTGATAACCTGCTGGAAATGGAACAAAATTCGGCCGAAGGTTCAAACTACATTTTGGTGCCAGCAATTCTGTTTTAGTCAGGCTGCAGTAGTTGATGTAGCAGATATTTGGCACAGTCAAGTTGCTTTTGTATGACATGTTTATTTGAGATTAAGACATGTTTTGGTGTATGTATTTATTTAAATTCAAATGTAATATTTTTAATCCACTGCAGTAGGTTGCTTTAGGTAAAACAGTGGGGCTGCTTCGTATAAATGTTTTTTGTTAAGTGAATGAAATAGACAGAAAAACTTTCAGCTTTTGCCGTCTCTTTCTATTGCAAAACACTCTCACTTTACTCTCATCATCTCTCCATCTGAACCAACAATTGGTAGCAGAGCTCTATTGATCTTAAGGACCTGATAAACTCATCTCTTCTCACCCATTTCTCAGCCTCTGTTCTGGTGAAATCTCCTGCCAAACTACACATAGCCTGATTCAATGGCACAGCACACAACCTCTCTTACTCCTCTAACCTTCAACGGTGATTAATACCATATATGGGCTGTCAAAATGAAAACCTTTATGAGGGGACAAGGTTTATGACAGTATGTTGAAGAAAATAGACAGCCACCAGCATTAGGGCCAAACCCCATTCTAAATCAGATTAGGATGCATGATGAGGAAGCCACCAAGTCTCCTAGAACCTTGTCATATATTCATGCAACAGTGACTGAACAAGTGTTTACAAGAATCATAGCATATGAGACAGCCAAGGAAGCATGGGATAAACTCAAGAAGGAGTTCGGTGGTAGTGATACAACAAAAAACATGCAGGTGTTGAACTTAAGGAGGGAGTTTGAAATGTTGAAGATGCAGGAGTCAGAATCAGTGAAGGAATATGTAGATAGGTTGATGAATGTGGTGAATAAAATTAGGTTAATGGGAGAGGAAATGACAGATAAAAGGATAGTGGAGAAAGTCCTAGTTAGTCTACCCGAGAGGTTTGAATCCAAGATATCTTCACTTAAGGATTCTAAGGACTTGTCACAAATCACTCTCACCGAATTGGCGTATGCCTTGCAAGCTCAAGAGCAAAGGAGATTGTTGAGGCAAGATGACTCAAGTAAGGGTGCAATGGTGGGAGGACTCAAGTAAGGGTGCCATGGTGGCATGACTCAAAAGCAAACCTGGTTAAGGAGGAAGCAAAAGGCCGGTTGGAGATAAGAAAAGGAAGGAGTAAATGACCAACCAGTGGAGCAAACCAAGTGGAATGAGAGAGTTTCCACTGTGTTCTCACATCAAGAAGAAGGGTCATGCTGAAAAAAGGTGCTGGTTCAGACCTAATGTCCAATGTAGAACATGCAAGCAATATGTCTTGAAAAAGTGTGCAAGAACAAACCAAATCAGCCAACACAGCAAGCATAGATTGTTGAGGATCAGTAGTCAAATTCTGATTTTGAACAACTGTTTGTGGCTTCATGCTGTGCAGTTCAAGCTTACAATGATGCATGGCTGATAGACAGTGGGTACACCAATCATATGACAGCAAACTTGGAGGATTTTGTCAATTTGGACAAGTCATACCATTGCAAAGTTAAAATGGGAAATGGGGAGTTTGTGGTTGTCAAAGGGAGAGGAGATATTGCTGTGCAAACAAGTTCAAGTATCAAACTAATCCCTACATTTTGTATGTGCCTGATATAAGCCATAATTTGCTTAGTGTAGGACAAATGCTAGAAAGGAAGTATGCCCTA